GCTGTCATGAAAAATTAATATGGTGGACTTGTTTTGTGCTATGTGAAAAGACATCATCCCATTTCTGTGTACAGTCTATAGTTGTGCTTCAGTGTTCTGCGTAATGGTATGTACTGGTATACATACACTGCATACTGGCCCTGTCTCCAGATGAAGCAAAAGCTGAACTATTCGCTTCCTCTTTGGGTTCTAAACATGTTCAGTTATTGGAACTATATTTCCCCTGGCCTGCCTGGCAATGTTTACAGTACCACTTGCTGAAAAGTGGTCATTTCTGAGTGGTGTCTGTGAACAGTGAGGTTTCTGGGAAGTTGTTTGCTTTTATTTTCACCATTTCTGACAAGTTCAAGTCTAGCATTTGTAGAATATGATTCATTTTATGTGAGGTATTTAGTGCTGCTTGGCATTTGTCACTGTGTCATGAGGGACTGCATGACAACATCAAAACCAGAAGTTAGGCTGCACCAAAATCTGTGAGGGACTCTGGCCTTGACATTTTTGTGCTTTGTTTGGGACCTAGCTAGTTCCAGAGCAAAGAACAGATGAAAGCAAACTATCCTGAAATCAACTCCTACTTAAAGGATAGGCAGTCCATGAAAGTCTCAAGCAGTTTAAATAAAAACCCTAGCAGTTAAGATTAAAGAAAGTTCTCCAGCACATGTAACAAAGTGTAGCAGAGTGTGCTTGTTTTGCTCTGTCAGGTAGGTACACACTTGTACTAAGTAGGAAGTTTAGCCTCTGGTTTTTATAGAAGAAACACGCTGCGCAACAAGCAATGAAACTGACGAAGCAACACTTGTGAGATGCTGCCCCTTTTGCCTTAGAGAATGAAGGGGTGACATTGCTCCTACCATTATGCTTTGCAGTTATGAACTGTGTCTCCTGAGACATATACAACTTCTCCCATAACATTTCCTAAAATCTCTCCTGGCTCAGTGCAGAGCTTAGCACAAATACTATTAAGTTCAGGTTAGCCTGGAAGTGTTATTAATATAGTATTATACAACCAAAGGCACCTGCAGCTGGAAGTTATACGCTGCTACAAATATTCAGCATGTGATATCTGGTAAAAGTGGGCTTCATCTTTCTCTGCTCTGTTGTATAATGGTGCATGGAGCAGAGAAACAGTTGCAGCAGATTTGGGATGAGTCACTAGGTGCCCCTCCTGTGCAGGGGACAGAAACATCAGGTGCCTGGGAGCACTTTGCTTGCACCTCTTGCCCAAAAGATGAGAGTGGCTGGGACAAAGGCACTGAGGGCCTGCAGGTCTGGCAGCCTTGCCACAGGGCTTTAATAAGGGCTGGCTTACCCAGACAGGTGTCATGGGCTTGATGCCACATGTCTCTGAGGTTAATCGTTGTTATTAATAGAGAGGGTGCAGAAGTGGCATTACAGGATGACAGAGCTTTCGGCTCTTCTTTGGGAACCCTGCCTTTGGTCAAGCTGCTCATCTTGTGCCATCACTTCATCACCGCTGCAGTCATACACATTTGTCTTAGACAGTCAGTGCTTCTGGAATACAGTTCCTTTTGCATAGTGATAAGTAAAGTTTTATTTAAAATTTCTTGGGTGATGGGTTTATGTTTCTTTGTCTGGGTGTCTATTTCACCATTAGTTAGCACTGACTGACAGGAATTCTCCCTCATATCCTTTCTGTTTCCTTCTCTTAACTTCTGTTTTTCTTCCTGCTGTCACCACTCTACTTTTCTCTCTTCTGGTGATAGGCAGTGATCTTCTCACTAGGTGCCAATTCTTTTCCTGTGCGCTGTACTGAGTTAGTTGACTTATTACTTCATTGTACAGCACACAACATTAAACAACCCCTTCTCTTTGTTGCTGAGTAGAAAATACAAAGTTGCAGCTAGTAAAAACTATATTAGAAAGAGGCAGGCAAACCTGCAAAGAGTGTTTGCTAAGATCTGTGCAGATGCTAGAAAAAAAGTATTTAGACACAAGATGTTCAGGGAAGGAGAGGCTCTGTCACAGCCCTAGAGCTCTGCAGGGTGGTCAAGTTTCAATCAGAAGCAGGGAGGTGGGTGGGGGCTCTTTGCTTTACATATGTTCTGCAAAGAGCTGGTCTGTGTAAATCCCTTAACAGGAGAACATGCCATGGCCCCACTGTTAGACATGTAAGAAAGAGTGATTTGTGTCAGGAGATCCTTATCCCAGTTTGCAGATCCCCTGTCCTCGGGAGGAAAGAGCACTACATGTCCAGGTCACCCTGTGTCGAGCACACAAAATATTTTACTTGTGAAAGCAAACACCTTTGCATTTATCGCCAAGAGAGATGCATGGAGGAGAAAGTATGAATATTACAGTCCTTGTGGGACATATGTGGCAGCCAACTTTGCTTATGACTGTACATCCATAAGATCAAAATTCGTTGTAAAGCGGAGTGGCAAAAGCTGCATTTGGTGGAGATAGGGAGCGAGGCAGAGAGTGTACCTGGACAGGTCCTTCCTTCTACAGGGTTTCATGAAAACAGCTTTTGATTCCTGCTCATTTCCAATCCATTCAATCACAGTTCTGTGGTGCTTTACTGCACCTGAAGGTAGAAGCAGCAGAAACATTGTCACATCAGTCCAAGGCAGCCACCACACAGAACAAAGCCATACACTGTGCACTGTTGATGAGGTACACACTTGGTTGGCCTTGCTGTGCCTTCACCTGTATTGCTAATAACTTACTGCATTGTGTTGTTCATGGCAAATGGCAGAGTATTAACAATAATAACAAGCCCATGCAGGCCAGATCCAGGAGGGCCCTGCAGAGAAGGTGCTGGAGATCGTGCTGCTCCAGAGGTTCTGACTTCACTCCTCAGGCCTCAGCTGGTTGAGGGCATTTTGCAAAAGCTGGTTGCCTCCCTTTCAAACCTCTGTTTCTCCTCACTGCTGCCTCTGCAGTGCCGCAGGTCCAGGCCAAGCATAATGGGGTTCCTGTGGTCCAGCTGGCTCATCTTGCCTGGGCCAATCACTTGCCAGTGGAACACAGCACATGGGCAGATTCCCAAGACTTGCCTGCAGCCCTATGAAAAGGAGATGGGGGAAAATTTAAGAAGCTGCAATTCTTGCCACAATCTGGAAATAAACATTTCCTTCTTTGGTGAGTGCAGAAGAAAGCAGCCACCTGATGCAGCTCTGCAGAAAAATATTGCATAGCCATACTGTTTACCAAAAGGAAAATTTTATATAGCTGCAATTGAAGTTACCAAATACACTTATAGGTGACCAGAAAGCTTCTCAGAGCCACATATGTCAGCTAGTGAGGCTGCTACTAGAAACTAAGGTTTCTTTGTTTTTTAGCAGCTGATGATTTCCTCTCCTCAGGCAATTATGCAGCCTAATTGCCTGTAATAATCATCCCTGTTAAAAATGTGCTGTAGGCAGCCTTCTTTGTTTTTGAAGTGTCTTCCTACCAACTTCTTGCTTCCAGAAATGGGCTCCATGAGTTTAGAAAACACAAGTAACACTGAGAAATCCAGCATTTGATTATTTGAATCCATTTGTTTATGCTGTTCTTGGTGCATAAGTGCATATTTTTTAAAAATACTGAAAAAAAAAAGAAAAAAGATAATGTTATTTTTGAAGTGTGACCTGTCCTTAAAATATTCATTTCTCTCTTACTATTCAGAACTGGATTTGGTGTATTTTAGTTTTCAGTTTTATAAAAACCTTCTGTGATTATTTTTTCTCTGAGATACTGATTAGATGTACTTACACTAGACCATGCTGTGCTGCACTACAGCAATATCGAAAAATAATCTGGAAAAGTAAAAAAAAAAATAATCACTGAGTATACTGTACACTGGCAGGATTAATTAGGTAGCGTTACACAACATCCCCAATAATGACTTTTGTGATTTCGTTTAGGCATTATCTATGTTTTCATTCTAGTTCATTGTTGTAGCAGTGCATAATCATTACGTAATATGTTTTATAACATTCGCACATGAAAACAGTCAGGAACATCCCTTAACTTTTTGATTAAGTTCAGCAAAATACATGCAAACAATACAGGACCAGAACAAAGGTCCATTAAGCCTAATATCCTGATTTTTTCAGTAACCATGTTAAGGTATATAGAGAATTGTTTCATTATCCCTAGGCACCTAAAGATTCTTCCTGTAGGTGACAATCTGAAGAAACTTGCAGCCCTGGGATTTTATGTGCCTAGCACTCTCTCTCTAATATGTATTTTCAAGGCAAGGTGCAGTGCTTAGAGGCCAAATGCTTAAAATTCAGGTGTAATCGGTTGTGACACTGCAATGCATAGGCAGATCAAAAGCATGTGAAGGTAACTGAAGAAAGAGTGGACCCCAGAATTATATGGAAAGAGAATTTGCAACAGCTTATTTGTAAAATGTATATAGATATTAGAGAAGGATGTTATTCAGCTCTTTACACACTCTGGAAGTAGTTTTCAGCATGCAGGTCAGAAAGAGATAATTTGTGGTGTAAGTGAACAGGATGAGCCCTTTGTGAGCAGCTGCATGCTGTCACCAGATTGTGACTATGCTCAAAGAAGAGCTCCAGATTCCTCACCATCTGGAAATTCAAATAAAAGTAAGAGATGCTGCATCTTGAGTGGTTAGCATTTCTTTCTGCTGCTGGGAAAGAAGTTCTCCCTGTTCTGTCCCTTTTTGTCTAACATGGTGATATGCCAATCCAGACACTTCCAGGTAATCTCATCAGCTGGAGGGTTGTACTAATTTAGAGTAAATCAGGGATGCAACCTTTAAACTACCTAAAAGCCACACTGACATATTAGGAACTAGGCTGGCCCTCAGTCTGCTTTGTCCAGTGAGCTATCATCTTGAGATAGCTGTCTCCAGACAATCATAGAATCACAGAATCATAGAATCGCAAGGTTGGAAACGACCTGCAAGATCATCTAGTCCAACCACCTTCCCATTCCTATTAGTACCATAAGCACTAAACCATATCTCGTAGCTCCTCATCCAGGCGCCTCTTGAACACTACCAGGGACGACGACTCCACCACCTCCCTGGGCAGCCATTCCAGTGCCTGACCACCCTTTGAGAGAAAAAGTTTCTCCTAATATCCAACCTAAACCTCCTCTGGTATAACTTCTGGCCGTTTCCTCAGGTCCTACTATTTGCCTAGGAGAAGAGGCCAGACCCTTTTGCACCACAACCTCCCTTCAGGAAGTTGTACAGTGCAGTGAGGTCTCCCCTGAGCCTCCTCTTCTCCAGGCTGAACAATCCCAGCTCCCTCAGCCACTCTTCATAAGACTTGTGCTCCAGACCCCTCACCAGTTTTGTTGCCCTTCTCTGGACACGTTCTGGACACGCCTCAAGTGTCTTTCTTGTAGGGAGGGGCCCAAAACTGAACACCTTACTCGAGGTGCGGCCTCACCAGTGCTGAGTACAGGGGATGATCACCTCCCTGCTCCTGCTGGCCACACTGTTTCTAATGCAGGCCAGGTTGTTGTTGGCCCTCTTGGCCACCTGGGCACACTGTCGGCTCATGTTCAGCCGAGCATCAACCAACACCCCAGGTCCCTTTCCTCTTCACACTCATCCAACCACCCATCCCCAAGCCTGTAGCGCTGCATGGGGTTGTTGTGGCCAAAGTGCAGAACCCGACACTTGGCCTTGTTGAACCTCATCCCATTCACCTCGGCCCAGCAATCCAGCTTATCTGGATCCCTCTGCAGGGCCTCCCTGCCCTCAGGCAGATCGACACCACCTCCCAACTTGGTGTCATCTGCAAACTTACTCAAGGTACACTCAATCCCTTCATCTAAGTCGTCAATGAAGATATTAAACAGGATGGGCCCCAGAACCGACCCCTGGGGGACACCACTTGTAACAGGTCTCCAGCTAGACTTCACTCCATTGACCACCACCCGTTGAGCACGGCCCTCCAGCCAGTTCCTTATCCAACGGAGGGTAAAATTGTCCAAGCCACAGGCAGCAAGTTTTCGCAGATGGATACTGTGAGAGACCATGTCAAAGGCTTTGCTGAAGTCTAGGTAGACTACATCAACAGCCTTTCCCTCATCTACCAATCTGGTCACCTAGTTTTAGAAAGAGATGAGGTTGGTCAAACACGACCTGCCTTTCATGAACCCATGTTGGCTGGGCCTGATCCTGTGGATGTCACACACGAGCCATGAGATCTCTCCCAGGAGGATTTGTTCCATGACCTTCCCTGGCACTGATGTCAGGCTAACAGTCCTATAGTTTCCCGGATCCTCCTTACGGTCCTTTTTGTAGATGGGAGTCACATCAGCAAGCCTCCAATCCTCTGCAACCTCTCCAGTCAACCAGGAGCACTGGTAGATAGGCGAGAGTGGCTTAGCAATCACCACCGCCAACTCCTTCAGCACCCTAGGATGAAGCCCATCCAGTTCCATGGACTTGTGACTGTCCAGATAGAGGAGGAGCTCCCTAACGGCCTCCACCTCAATCTCCGGGGGGATATTCTGTGTATCAGCCCAGATATCCAGATCAGGGCACGAAGTGCCCTGAAGATAACTGGTCTGACTATTAAAGGCAGATGTAAAGATGGTGTTGAGGACCTCAGCCTTCTCCTTGTCTTCCATGGTCACATTCCCCGCTGCATCAATTAAAGGATAGAGATTATCCTTGGTTCTTCTCTTGCCATTGATATATTTGTAAAAGGATTTCTTATTCTCCTTTACTGCAGTGGCCAATCTAAGTTCAAGATGGGCTTTCGCTTTCCGGACTTCCTCCCTGCATACCTTAGCAACTTCCTTGTAATCTTCCCTAGTAGCCTGTCCCTTCTTCCGGAGGACATAGTCTCTTTTTCTTCCTGAGTCTTGACAGTAATTCCTGACTCATCCACACCGGTCTTCTCCCCCTACGGCTCGCCTTATGGTATTCAGGGACAGCCTGTTTTTGCGCCTTTAAGATTTCCATCTTGAGGAGCATCCAGGCTTCCTGGACCCCTTTACCTTTAAGGACTCCCAAGGGATCCGTGCTACAAGCATCTTGAACAGGTCAAAGTCTGCTCTCTTGAAGTTCAAGATAGCAGTTTTGGTAGTCATCTGACATCTCCAAGAATAGAGAACTCTACAAGGACAAAGACCTCCAACAGTGACAGGACAGAGGTTAGAAAAGGCCTTAAAGGCAGTGACTGTGACTTGTTTCCTGAATTTTGGATTGAATCTGTGTAGCTGAGGAAATATACAGGAAGGCAGTCATTTCTTTGTGCCTGAAGCCAAAACTGAGTTACCTACAGCAAAGTGCCATCTCCATTGGTTCCCAAGAGGTGCTGCTGTCTGCATGTTTGGCTAAGAGAGTTCTGTTTTATACAAGTGACGTGCTGACAAGGAAGAAGGGAGACCTATGTACTCAAAAGTCCTGCACTGAGGGCCAAACAGCCAGTGGAGTCATGCCACATAAAGCTGGCTGAAACGGAAGAGTTTTTCCCCTCATGCACGTCATGCAAGAGAAGCAAGGCTATTTTGGGCCCTATCACTTTACACATATGTGAACATTAGCCATATTAGTCATCTCTATGTTCCTTACAGAGAGATTTGGATGAAAATGCACAAGAGTAACACTATATAGGTTCTTTTTATGAGAAATTTAAGCCTCTTGCAGTCATACGTTCTCCCAAAAAGGAGCAGTCTTGCACTTTCTGCAGAGAAATTTAATCACTTGACCATTGCTTTTCAACTTTGCTTTTCAGAGCAAATTTGGCTGTTGAAACTACTGACTTCTACAGTCCCTAGGAAAATCATAAACTGAGCCCTGATTAGCAGAACCTTCTTTCTGCACGTGGTGCTGCCAGTTATAAGGAACGTGCAGTGATGCTGGAGAAATACTGAATTTTGCAAAGGCTGAGAAGATCTGAGGTCTCTGTTTATGGATATTTTTACATAATGGGATATAGTTACATAGCAAAAACATAAAGGAAAACCAGACATTGAAAGCCAATTTACAAACTCTCTCCTTTATGTAATTTGCAGAGAAAGTGCATTTCTGCTTTTAAAGGATTGATGCTGTGCTGAGCTGCAATAAGAAGCTGTAAACATTGGGCCACACTATCTTGATTAGCTCTGTCCATTTCAATAGAATTAGATGAGAGCTAAATATGGCATCTTGTGGCTGCCTCTCGTGGCACACATGCCTAGGAGTCCTGTGGGATTTATTCCACCCCCGATTTTCCCTGCTGTTTGAGGGGCAATGAGAATGGTGATCTCCAGACTTCTTTATAGACATCATACCCATGCAGCCTGTGCCACCAAGGGACTCAGTATCTACCCTGCACCAAACACCTTTTTGCAGGTTATGCACGTAATGTAGCCAAGATGCATCACTATTTGATGAGTAGGAGCAGAATAAAGTGCACACGATGCTACTTTATGGTATAGCTGTCTTCATTTCTGCCTACCTGCTTCTCCTTCTGGAAGCTGCTTCTGTTTATATTTGCTGTGTATTTTTAGTTAGAGACAACATCTTGCTCTTAATGTTGAAATATTAGATTCCCCTATGGAAACATTACACCCAGCTCACTTAACAAAACAAAACAAAAACAACACCAACGCAACAACATGAACAAACAAAACAAACCCCCTTCTTAGCACTCACTGGTTTTCCTATGCAACAGAAAACAGGGAAGCGAGCTTACAATACTGCAATACAAATTTCTTTGCAGGCAGACAGATGCTGCTGTGCCACCATCTCTGACTGCCTTATCTGAATAAGGAAAGCACTGCTCTTAAAGTTTTTGAGCTTGCATGGCACCTGCGCTGAGCACTGCATTCCTGCACAGTTGCCTCAACAATTTCCTCTCTTTCTTCTCTGATGGGATGATTTGCCAACAAGTGCATCTATCCTGTAAGCACATGGTTGTCACTCCAGCTATTCACACTCACCCGCAAGAGGAGTCAAACAGGCTAGAAGAGACACAGCATTTTTTGCTGTGGCAGTAATGCAGACAAAATTGAGAGATACAACTGAATCATAGCCATTGTGCATGCAATTGCAATTCACAATTTTCTTCAAAGAGTTTGCATGCTTTTTAATAGATGTGACCCTGCAAGATTCCCTAAAACTAAAACAATTATTGAGTTTGGGAAATTACAAAGGAATTGCTTTATTTTTACAAAAGGGAAGTCAAGGCAGATTTTTAGTGGAAATTCTGTGCTTTGCTTCTGGGCTTTTCATAGCTGTCAGCACAGCAAAGATTTTTTTCTGTTATTTATCATAGGCCTCTTATTAGACACACTCCTTGTGTCATTTTCTTAGCTGTTCTTGCCTTGCAGTCATGCCAGCTCTTTCACTCCTTGAAGATCTGCATGCTGCTTGTACACATAGGTTGCTTACACAACGTTGGTCACTTTGACATTGGCCAATGTATTTGTACAGATAGAATGTCTTACAGTGCAGATGTATTCCTCTAAGTTTCGCATTCTAGGGCCCGGATTGGACTTGTTTCATCTTTTCACATCTGGATACATGCCTTTGTTAGACTACATGTTTGCCTATGTTGAACTATCAGGAGGAGCTATAGCTTGAGAAGTTCGGCCATTTCACATGCAAAATTAGAGGAAAAATGCATTTTTAGACTTTCTAGAGTCATTCACCAGCAAAACTTGGCTCTACTCTGAAGCTGACCTTTCTGAATGGGCAGCAGAGAAGAGTAGGTTTCAGATATCTTCTGGCCTCTCTGGAAACCTTTGCCATGTGACCAGCTTTCCATCATAAGTTCTTTGGTTTCTCCAGAAAATGAAATTGAGGATTTTTCCTGGCTGGCATGCCTCTGTTTGCCAGCATGACAGCAATAGGATGCAGAAGCAGTTAACAGGGCAGGCACCCACCTGCTTGGCTCCTTGGACAGCCCTAAGGCAAGTGGGGAGCCTCTCTCTGCTGAGAAAAACCTGGAAATTAGGGAAACAGTGAGTGATTTCCACCCCATGTATTGAATAACTGCTCACTGTATCATTCCTGGGCATCTGTTGCTGGTAGTTACTGTGAGAAAGGGAAGCAGGCTGTGCTACGAGGTATGAAGGATAGCCATAATTATTTCCATGTGCATAGTCCCAGTGCCATTCCCATTCCTATGTACAACAACTGATCTGGGGGCTTAGTGAAGGGAAATGTCTACAGAAATGCAGAATGTAGGTTTTTAAATTCTCTTCAGTGAAGATTGTTCAGATATCTCCCAAAAGCCCAAATAAGAACAATTGCAGTTCGGTTGTTTTCCCATACCTGTGTTTTAGGGTAAGATGAATCTTGAACCATGCTCACTAATAAGTAATTTGAGTGACATAATTAAACAAAT